AACAGCCCCCAAATATTACTCAAGCAAGGTGTCTTAATTTCTCATGTAATAGTCCATATGTCAAGGACATGTTGACAATAGTGCTCCATAAGGATATTCAGGACCCAGGTTTCTTCCATCTTGTTGCTTCCTACCCTTTAGGCACTGTAGTTGTCTGCTCAGTCCAAGCTGACTTAGCTCCATATCTGTGTTTCAACACAAAAAGGGGGAAAGAAAAGTGGAGAGGAATAGCATTTCCACTCATAATTATTAGAAAGAGTCACATGGCTGCAGCAGCTGCAAAGGACCATGGAAAATGTAATTTCTAGTTGGGTAGTCATGTGCCTGACAATAAGTGATGCTATAGAAATATATACAATATCCATCTTATGACATGTTTTGTATTCCCTACCAATTGCTATATCCCTCTAGAGATGCCCCAGTTTAGGAAGCACAGTATAAAGCAGGGGTCTATATACCTTTTCCTGCAAAGGACCAGGTGGTACATCTTTTGGGCTTTGTGGGACATACGGTCTCTTTTGCAACTACTTAACTCTGCAGGTGTAGTACAAAAGCAGCTGTAGACTGTATGTAAACAAGTGAGCATGGCTATTGTTTTAGTTGTCTACTGTAGCATAACAAATTACTACAAAGTTAGAGGTTTAAAACAACGTGCAGTTATCATCTCATAATTATTGTGGATCATGAGTCCAAGCATAGCTTAGCTGGGCCCAAGGCTACAATCAATAGTCAGTCGAACTGTGTTCTCATCTGGAAGTTTGGGAAAAAAGTTCCACTACCAGCCTCATTCAGGGTTGTTTGCATAATTTATTTTCTTGAGGATGTAGGGCTAAGGGTCTTAAATTCTTGCTGGCTGGTGTTCTCTCTTTGCTGCTAGAGGTTATCCACAGTTCCTTCGCCATGTAGCCTTGTCCACAGGCTCTCTCATAACATGGCAGATTGTTTCTTCAAAGCAAAGAAGGGAGAAAAATCTCCAGAGCGAGTATGGTCGCAAAACAGCTGTGTTCCTATAAAACTTCTGTAAGGGTAAACTGAGGTGAGGTGGGCTGGTGTTGGTATTGGGGGAATAATGCAAGATTGCAACCAAGTAAGAAGTAGAAGGAAGTAGAGTTTACTATTCACCTTTCACAGATTGGAGAGGGGGCCGACTCTCAGAGGCAAGTGTGGCCCCGAAGGGCTAAGAGCTGGTTATATTTAAGGGCCTTTGGGGTAAAAAGGGGTTTGGGTCAAAAGGAATGTCCAGAGCTGCAGTCTTTGAGGTTGATTGTAGCCACATGAATCTTAGATTTTGCTCGCCAGGCATTAGCATCTCATGACTTGGGATGAGATGGGAGGATACAAGGAGAGGGGTTTTTTCCTGCAAGAAGCCTGTCAGACGTTTCCAATTCACAAGCTCCTGAGCTAACAGGTGGTCTTATTATCATTTCGATGGCTTCAGCCAGCTAAGGAGTAATCTTTGGATTGCCTTCAACAAGGAACCTGGAAGTTTCTTAGAGACTGTTATGCGAAACCATTAATTGAAAGGTTAGGCTGTCCTAGTCTTGCTTCTGATGGAGTTTTCCTTCGATTTGCCAAGGGATTGGGGTAGGCTGCCAGCTCGGCCTGCAGTAAAATGTCTGAACACTTCCTAAAACCTACCTTTTAGAAATTTATCTATCTATGTCTAACCCATGCTAGATTCAAAGCATGTCAGTCTAAGCAAAAAATGGCTATGCAGGGGTAAATGTGAACAAAATTTATTCTAAGTTTCTCAGGGTCCCTCCTTTCAACTTCATTTACAAAGACAAGTGGTAGGTCATGTCCATCATTTGCTGGCCCTTGGTAGAATGAATAAAGCACATTAAGAAGAAATAAAATTTCATTAAGTAGAGAAAAGGTTAGATTTCTCAGAGCCAGAAGGGCCATGTGGAAAGGTATTCATAGAAAAAAATTTTTTTTCATTCTGGTCTCATACTACAACGATTACCTTATTTTGTCAATTAAAAAAAGGCTGGGCACAGTGGCTCAAGCTTGTAATCCTAGCACTTTGGGAGGCCGAGGTGAGAGGATTGCCTGAGTTCAGGGGTTTGAGACCAGCCAGGGCAACTTGGTGAGCTCGTGTCTCTACAATAAATTAAAAAATTAGCAGAGATGGTGACACGTTCCTGTAGTTCCAGCTACTTGGAAGGCTGAGTGGAAGGATCACCTGAGCCCAACAGGTCGAGGCTGCAGTGGTCGTGAGCGTGCCACTGCATTCCAGTCTGGGCAACAGAGTGAGACTCCAACTCAAATAATAATAATAACAACAATAATAATAATTATAAGATTGGCATTATGTTAGAATCTAGTGATTATAAGATGAAATTATTCATATTCTAAAGTAAATTCACAGTGAGAGACTTCATAGCAAGCTTCTTTACTTTAATTCTGATCTCACCTGGAACAATTTCAACAGAAAAGAAGGTTATTTTTTTAGTGATCATAAAAGTGACAGATAATGCTTATTGTGTGATTGAGAATCAGGGATTATGCTAAATGTTTAACATGAATTTCACTTAATCTTCAAAATACTCTGTTATTTAGATTATTATTATTACTATTATAAAGACAAGGAAAGTGAGCTTTAGCAAACTGAGCAACTTGCTCAACATATACACATAAGGTAGTAGAACTAGAACTAGGATATAACCCTTACTGTCCTGAGGAGTCAGATCATTACATTTTATTAAGTATGTAATGGGCTCCTTTGAAGGGTTTTAAGCAGGGAGATAGTATAATAGGATTAATGTTTTTAAAAATTAGCTTTGTATGAAGACTGAACTGAAGGAAGGCTACAGTAGAAGCAGGGTAGTCCAGGGAAAAAATGATGGGGGCTTGGACAGAGCAGTACCCTGGAGATAATTTTTGCCGTGCATCTTGTTGGTAAAATGACAAGACTTGGTGACAGAATGGCTCCTTGTCTACCTCTCTAATGGTAGTGCACTCTACTCCACTCTAGCCACACTGATATTTTGATTCCTTAAATGCACGAAGTCTTTTCAAATTCTGGGATGTTATATGGGCCATTGTCTCTGTATGGAATGCTTGTTACTCTATTCTTCTATCGTGCCATCTTAATTCATCCTACTGAACTCAGTTCAGATCTCACTCCTCAGAGAATCCTTCCTTGATGTCCCAGTCTAAATTTGGTCCCAACTTCAATTTTCTCTTAATAAAATCCAGTTATATCTTGTCCCATATCTGTCAATTTATTCATATTTATTTATTTTTATTGACTAACACATTATATTTCAAGAGGTTAGAAACTTTATTTTATTCATTATTGTTAACGGGGTACCTAGCATGCACAGTTCCTGCCACCATATTAATTGTATTTATCAGTGAATATTTGTTGAGGTATTAAATATCTGACTTCAAAGCCCTTACTCTTAAATACTGTGTTACTCCCTCTCACATTTGATGATTTTTAAAGATTTCCTTTACAATCCTTTTGAAGTTATTAACATAACATATTCCAATTAATAAGTGATGTTCCTGTCTCCAACCCATTGTTAACCCACACTCTTCTCAAACTCTGATCCGGGTTAAAAAGAATGTTGAGGGGAAATGTAAAGCAGGAAGAAATGGTTGATGACAGTGGCTTGAGGCAGGCGAATTCTCATTCATTGTGGGAGTACAAACTGATATGATCCTTTAGGGAAACAATTTAGCAATATCAAAGGCCTTGAAATAAATGTAAATATATTTTAAAAAATACACAAGAGATGTGTATATTTGTATTATATAAGACACCTCTAAGGATATAAACCAAAATGTCTGTAGCATTAGAAAGGCACTTCTAGGAAGTAAGATGACAAAATAAAGCGATTTTCTCTCTGTATTTTTTTAAAAATAGGCAACTATTACTTTTATAATGAAAATCCTATTACAGATAGCAATAGAAAATAAATCTTCATACTTTTAACATAGTAATCCCAACTTCTAGGAATCTATTCTAATAACATAATGAGAGATATAAGATATTTATCAGTCAATTCCATATTATATTCAAAAATTAAAAATAATCTAAATGTATAACAACAATGCAATAATTAAAGTATACTTTATTCAAATAAGGAACTATTTAATATATATATAAAATTATGTTTTAGACAACATTTAGAAATATGAAAAATGTTCATGTTATAAGACTATACAAACAAAGTATGACACTGAATTTCAGGCCTGGGCTTAATTTGTTAGGAAAAAAATGAACAAGAAAGATATATGCACAGAAAAAAATAAAACTGCAATAAAATCTACCAAAATGTCATCAATGGCCGTTTCTAGATGATGGATCTCTATAAGTTTAGATTAGTTTTTAAAAAACTTTTTTGTATTTCCTAATTAAAAATAATCATGATATTTTATAATTAGAGGTTACAACCATCACATGTATAAAAGTAGTGCATTAATTCTTTTTTCTAACAAGTAATTTGATCCTCATGTCAAGCACTCATAGAAGACATACAGTATATTTATTTGCTAAGATCATAGGTTCCAGCCCCCACTAACCCCACATCCATCTTATTTTTATGAAAAAGTAACATGTGTTTAATACTCTTTGGGAATATCACATGTTTTTTGACTTGTGCATCATAACAATGCTTTAAGAAATAAACTTACTTCAAAGAAATATTCTTAGTTGAAATTAGAACTTCTATTTGCCTTTTCTTCAGTGTCTTCGTGTCAGACTTTGTTGAACTAAGCTAATGGAGACAATACTATTTATCACATTTTTGCATAGGTTTACATATACTCTTCAAAAGTATAAAATCAGCTCTTTTAGGTAGCATAAAATGAGTTGCTTTTAGAAAACTTCATCTTGAACTATAATATTTAACTTAGATACCTACACATTGAGAATTCTATTTAGTCATTAAACCAATGAAAACTTCTACTATATGGTTACTGTCAGAATGGTCTAACAAATTTAACTTGGGATGATGTATATTTATAAGTACATGAGAAAAAGTCTGAAATAATGTTTACCAAAATGTTTATAGTAACTCTGGGACCTCAGGTAGTTACCTCTGGAAATCAGAAAAACAGAGCATAAAAAAGAGAAAGCCTCCAAGCCACATGTAGAAACAAATCCGATTACATTATAAAATGCTTTCCAGATATCCTACCAATGGAAATTTGAGTTTAAAAACTTAAAATCAATCAACTATGGACAACTATAATAGTTGGTTTCTGAAATAATCCAAGCTCTCATTTATTCTAAGCGATACCCTATAAGTATGCATATAAACAAACATGGGCATAAATTCTGTATATTTAACATTTATTTAACACTTGTATTACCCAGATCCCTCAAATGAGAAAAGTGTTTCAATTTCAATAGTTTTGCTTGGTTACCTATAGTTCAAATATTGTCAGGTGAATTAAGTCATGTTTGAATCTCTCTTCCTATCTCTCCTTCTGGAAGCAATGTAAAATAGATATTTCATTCATAAAAAATTCAATTAATTTTTTACAGGCAATTACACTCATGTACATACATTCATAGCATAGAATATACTATAAAATACATAAAATAAAAATACTATACACTTCAGTTGAATTAATTGTAAAGACACAAAGTTTTATTGAGTGAATCAATTAACATATTTATAGAAAGAGAATGTAAAAGGTATCTAACTTGAATAAAGATGCCCATTTAACACTCATCATAATTATTTTTATTCATGAGCTGAATCTACTATGAAGTGAATCATTATTAATTTGCAGTACAAAGAAAAACACATAAGAACCAGGACTATTATTAAATCATTAAACTCAGAGAAAAAAATTAAGGTTAACAGAGAAGCTCACACTGGAATTAATTGATAGTATAGTACTGGCTCTATTTTAAATTTATTTCCTATATTATTTCCCAAGCAAAATATATTCATCATGTTCAAAGAAAAATGCCATAATATATTTGATTGCATGTAGCTATTTTCTCAATTTTATTAATGTAATTACTGAAGCTCTGTATTCTAGTAGGGTACACATTATATCTTGTATCCATGGACACTCCTTGTTACATAAAGTTATCATTAAGCATGTAAAAAATAGCAGGCCAAGCACTAAAGCAACAATAGGACAGTGAAAACAATATGGTATTCACTTTTGTTTCCTTTAAAGCGAAAGTGTTCTTAACAATTCCTGTTGGCTCACAGAATTAGAGAAAGTATATTAGAACCTCAGTACTCTTAACAATGATCTCCCTTGGCTAAGAAATGATAAGTCATATAATTTACAGAAAGAAAGCCACCGAATCCTTTAGAAAACACAACCTGGAAATCTATCTTCAATGCAAAATAATGAGGTGATAGGAGTATGATGGAAAAAACAGTCTTCAAAAACATCAAGTAAGGGAATCCAGCTGTGCTTGTATGGTCTCTAGCTATTTACAAAGACAAGGCAAAAAAAAAAAAAAACAGACAGAAAGTTAGTGAAGGGAATGAAATTCATATGAAGTGTTGTTTAGAAACATGCAAATCGAAGGGAAAGAATGGCATAGTAAGTATGAATATTAAAACCATTCACGTAGCAATAAAAATACCCTTAGAATATTTTTTTAATGTAAAGATATTACAATTCATGCTTGCAATTTAAGTTTTCAAATTTTCAAAGAAGGATTTCTAAATACTGCTGTTTTAAATACCCCCAGCTGTTTCATTTTAAATTATCACTACACGATATGATTTTAAAGTTGGGGGAATGGAGGGAGTACATCTTCCTAGACTACAAGGTCAGTATTTAGAAATATGAAATATAGTCAGAGATAAATCTCTAAAGGCATACTTCCCTTTACCCTTGGGCCCATAAATTAAAGTATTTAATATTATCTATATTTTTAGTATCAGTGTGGTTAGGAATCACACAGTTCATTACTTAATGCTTTGCATTACAGCAACAATCCCATTGCTTTAATTAAAACTATTTTCATTTTCTTTCTGATTCAGTTTCTCAGATTCTCTTCATTTCTGCTATGCTTCCTACTGTGGAACACAAGGTATAAGGGAAATTTAAAGAACTTAGCCCTACAATAGGACACTTAAAAATAAGAATTCGCAAAATGAAGACAACATTATGAAAAAAACCTCACATATCAGAAAATTACTTTAAAAACACAAACCTTTTTGTAGAAATCAAACAACTCCTCATGACTGAATTCCACAAGAACTTTCTCCAGGCTCTGTAAACAACAACAGCAGCAGCAGCAACAACAACAAAACAAACACAAAGAAAAAAGAATTTAGTTGCAGACAATTTACATTGCATTTTTTCTCTCCAACTAGTCTTAAAATATGCCATATTATTCGTCTAAGTGGCTTAAACAAAGTATTTACCTGCTCTACCGAGCCCCACAATTCCTAGAACTTACAAATGCACTTAATAACACTCATTTTAGAAAAAGATTTCAACTCTATAGGGACATCTGTTCTTTAAGTTGACTCTACAAAGGTTAATAAAATAAATGCCATCAAGAGAACAATTTTATTTTCTATTTTTTTCAAGACAGAGATAATACATGAGATTATATTTCATCTTTCTCAGCAGTCCATTTGAAATCTAGTAAATACCATTACACAAAGACACCGGAGGCGGCATATCTGATTGAACTCATCCAGCCATTAATGTCTCACATCAGCATAGCTACTGCCTCTAAGCACTAATCTAGCAGTTATGATCTTAACATGCTGAGATTGTTACCTTCTTTACAGACTCAGCAAAAGTTCACAATTAACACAACAGTTTCAAAGCTGGGACTTAAACACTCTCTTTCAACTCACATGCATTAGAGAAGCCTTTATGGGTGCTACAGATGCTAAATAATATTGTACATACACACACACACACACACACACACACACACATATGTATGATGGTGTAGTAAAAATGTGATATATATATTTCTTTGAGTTGGAGTCTCATTCTGTCACCCAGGCTGGAGTGCAGCGGCACGCTTAACCCAGCGTCGATCTGCTGGGCTCTGGTGATCCTTCTGCCTCAGCCTTCCAAGTAGCTAGAACTACAAGCGTGTGCTACCATACCTGGCTAATTTTTTTATTTATTGTAGAGACGAGGTCTCACTATGTTGCCCAGGCCCGTCTCAAGCCTTCAGGGTCAGGCAATCCTCTTGTCTCAGACCTCCAAAGTGCTGGGATTAAGGCTTGAGCTACCACACTCAGCCAAAGTGTGATATTATACTAAATTCAACTCAACTCAACCTGCTTAAAGTAATAGCTATAGAGGTAGACTAGAAAGCTACAGGCCTTCTTCCCTCACAAAGACACCAACAATATATGGATCAGGATATCTCTATGAGAACTCTAGAGATCAGGTGAGAAGCTACAGCACCCAGATCATTATTAAACCAAGAAAGCACTCCAGTGAAAGGGGTAGAAAACTTTGCAGTGTTTGGTATATCCATATTGTGACCACCTCTCCCCTCATACCAGAGCTTCTCCCTCAGGATAGAAACAAAAGAATGAACCCATTCCATATTCTGGCTTATATGGGGGCTGCCTAAGGAACTGGTTTCTGTCTCACTTGATAAGGGGTACTCACAAGACTAGCACCAAAGTTTGGAAAGTGATGAAAACAGAGGTGAATAGCATAGGAGAGCTACAGTTCCATAGGGAGATGCCAGAAGGAGAAAGATATTAGAAAAGGTTTGAGAGGCCTTAGAACTTCCAGCAGGGCTGATTAATGAAGGTCTTCCCCTGCAAACATTCAGTGTGCAAAAACTGGAAGAAGTGGTTGTCTTTCAAAAAAATTTTTTGCTGGCCAAATCCCAGCAAAAAATTATAAGACATATAAAAAAACAGGGAAATATGGCCCAAAGGGTCAAAATAAAATTTCAGAAACTAACCCCAAAGAAACTCAGATCTATGAGTCATCTGATAGGGTATTTAAAATAACTGTTATGAGGATTTCAATGAGATAAGAGAGAAGACAGACAATTAAATGAAATTAGGAAAATGATATATGAACAAAATGAGAATTAGGAAAATGATATATGAACAAAATGAGAATATCAACGAAGAGAAAATATTAAAAAAGAAACAAAAACCAAACAAATTCTGGAGTTGAAAAATACAATAGCTAAACTGAAAAATTATTTAGATGGGGTTCAACAACAGACTTGGACAGAATGAAGAATCAATCAGCGAACTTGAAGACAAGTCATTTAAAGTCAGTGAGTCAGGGAAAAAAGGGAAGAAATACAAACAGAGCCAAAGGAACTCATGGGGCATTATCAAGCAGATCAATAAGAATTATGGGAGTCTAGAACAAAAAATAAGAGAGGAAGCAGAAGAAAGCTTATCTGAAGAAATGATGTATAAAAATTCTCAAATCTGTGCAAAGAAATGAACATACAGATTCAAGGAGTTCAAAGAACTACAACTAGGAAAATCCAAAGAGAATCACACTGAGACATGTTATAATCAAACTGTCTAAAATTAAAGACAAAATCTTAAAAGCAGCAAAAGTAATTTATCACATATGGGGGAGCCTCCAAAAGATTATCAGCAAATTTCTCAGCAGAAACTTTAAATGCCAGAAACAAGTGGGATGATATTCCAAGTGATGAAAGAAAGAAGGAAGAAGAAAAAAACCAAAACTATTAACCAAGAATATTGTGTCCAGCAAAACTGTTCTTCAAAAATAAAGGGGAAATTAAGACTTTACAGATAAAGAAAAGCTTTAGGAGTTCATTACCCGAACTTGTTCTACAAAAAATACTAAAGGATATCTTTTAGTACTTAAGTTGAAATTAGCCCTTTGCACAAGGAGATATCTTGCAAATCACCTATCAGCAACTTGATCATCATACTTTTTAATAAAATAGTGAAAAATGAATCACTTCATATTAAATAGTATAGCATCAGAACCAATTATTTTATTGTAATGATATTTGGCTTATAATGGAGTTTTGGACATTTAGGAATGTATTTATGACACAAAAATCAAACATTTTTTTATATTATATTTTTCTAATATGTGGTAACATGTGAAACAGTCACTGGCATGCATTGCAGGTCCATTGATATATGCTGTGCAATTGTAATTTGATGTGTACTACCTTGTGTTCTTCTGTTCTAGCAGATGAAACAGTATTTTTTTCATTCTCCCACATTAATGTGTAATTTATTGTCCAGTCTGTGCACCACTTTGAAAGCACTTCATACATTCTCTTTCTATGTAACACCAGTTGACATTGTAGAAAATGTATATCTCAGTATATATTCCATCTCTACTTGTTTTTTTGTGCAATTTTAATGGAAAACTTCAAGGAAACAAACATTTTTAAAAAACTTTCACTGACTTTTTCCTGTATAATCTCTTTACGTCCCCTGGGAGGGGACATCTGAGTGGTTTGCTAGATTTACAATGTCCCCTCAGAGGGGCCATCCAAGTGCAAAGGGTTAAAGAATAGTACACAGCAACACAAAGCCATACAAAAAATATAGGATTTACTGGTAAAGGTAAATACATGAAAAAATACAGTAGCATGTATACATTTAGTGCATGGAATTTAATGAATAAAACAAAAACAGAACCACATAAATCTATGTTAAAGTGTATATAATATATAAAAGTATGATTTGTGACAACAATAAAAGTACTGAAGTGGAACTGTAAAGGAGAAGAGTTTTTATATATGATTGCAGTTAAATTATCAGTTTGAAGTAGAATGCTATAACTTTGAGATTTGTATGGATTTGCAATGGTAATCATAAAGAAAACATTTATAGAATACACACAAAAGGAAGTGAGAAGGGAATAAAAGCACTATAAAAACAAACAAAAAAGAAAAAAACGAAACACGAAGACAGTGAGAGAGAAAATGAAAAATATGACACACAGAAAGCAATTAACAAAATGGCAATAGTAAGTCCTTCCCTATCAGTAATTACTTTAAATGTAAATAGATTAAACTCTCCAATTCAAAAATACAAATTGGTTGAATGGATTTAAAGTGATCCATCTCTATGTTGTCTACAAGAGACTCACTTTATATCTAATGAATCATATAGATTAAAATTGAAAGGATGAAAAAAGATAATTCCATCCAAATGGTAACCAAAACAGAGCAGGAATGACTATATTAAAATAAGACAAAAATTTACAGTTTTGGTGCATAAATACAGTAAGTCCTCATTTAATGTGGTCATAGGTTTTTGAAACTGCAACTTTTTTTTTTTTTTTTTGAGTTGGAGTCTCACTCTGTTGCTCAGACTGGAGTGTAGTGGCTGCTTGGGCCACTGCAGCCTCGACCTGCTGGGCTCCAGTGATCCTTCCGCCTCAGCCTTCCAAGTAGTCGGAACTACAGGCGTGCGCTACCACGCCCGGCTAATTTTTTGATTTATTGTAGAGATGAGGTCTTGCCGCCCAGGCAAGTCTGGAACCCCTGGGCTCGGGCAATCCACTCACCTTGGCCTCCCAAAGTGGGGGATTACAGGCTGGGCCATTGCGCCCGGCCTGAAACTGCAACTTTAAATAAAATGATATAACAATTTTTTCCTCATCAATGTTATGACAAATGTTGAACCAAATGATATTTAGAGGCCTGCTGTATATTGTTTCACTTACAGCTGCAGTTTCCGAGAACCTACTGTTGATGCTGAGGACTGTATTTATATGCACCCAAATATATCAAGCAAACTTTGACAGGTTTGAAGAGAGAAACAAACAGAAACACAATAATAGCAGAAGACAAATATTCTACTTTTAATAAAGGACAGAACAACACAGAAAATCAAATAGAAAATATGAATAACACAATAGACCAATTGGAACTAACATACATATATAGACCATTCCAACCACAACAGTAGAAAAATACATTATTTAGTGCTCATGCAACATTCTCCAGAATAAGATCACACGTTGAGCCACAAAACAAATCTTAAATTCCAGAAGTCTAAAATCATACAATTTAAAAAATAATTAAAATAAAAATTAGAAATTAGTAGCCTCATCAACAACAGTAGCCTCATCAACAGGGTACCTGCATAACGAACATTTGTATATCTAACCCTGAATTGTACCCCACATCTTCAAAATAAAAAATTAAAAAAAATAAAATCAGCACAAGGAAAACTGAAAAATCTACAACTATGAAACATGGAAATTAAACACAATCTTAACCAATGGATCAAATAAATCACAAGAGAAATTGAAAAATACCTTGTG